TACCTGTCCAGGTGAACCTGCCTTCACCCTGAGTCAGCTGGGATAGACTCCAGCCCCCCATGACCCTAGTGAGGATTAAGCGGTGGATAGATGATGGATGGATGGATGTCAGTATTACAGGAAAATGTAATTCTAGTTTTTGTCTTCTACAAACGTTCTGGTCATGGTTATTTTTGTAGACTTCATCATATTTTGGTTCCTTAAAGTGGAAGCAAATCTCAAAGTAAGTACATCCCAATACGTCGTCTTTTTACTCTACCTTTTTTGAAGAACTCTGTTTCTATCACAGCTGCGTCCTACACGGACAGCTCTGACGATGAGACGTCACCGCGGGACAAGACGCAGGTCAACACCAAGGGCAGCAGTGACTTCTGTGTCAAGAACATCAAGCAGGCTGAATTTGGCAGACGTGAGATTGAGATCGCAGAACAAGGTGAGACGGAGAGGACGGAGTGACCTCAGCATTTTAGTTGAATGCACTCTGAAAGGCAGAAAGAACATCTGTCATGATAAGACATTTTAAACTAAGTGAGGTTTTATTAAATGTCTGTTTGTTAGGTTCTGCTTGTCGGCTGGTATCCTTTCAGATTTGCTGACTGACTGTTTCAGTGTCACAGCACCGTGAGATATAAATCAAGAAATAAAAGCCTAACTGCCGATTACACCACATTACCACACATTTAGCAAAAATGAGCAGTTTCAATTTATTTCATGGAGTGCTTTTATGCAGCCGTAGCTCAATAAATAATGAATCACTCTGTGCAGAATTAAGAATCCGTCTGTTTGGTTTTGGTCTTTAATGCTTTCCTTGGTTTGAATTTTTTATGCATCATCCCTTACCGCCGTCTTCTCCACTCACTGCCTTCTACGTTATCTTGTTCTCAGATATGTCAGCACTGATCTCACTGAGGAAGAGAGCGCAGAGTGAGAAACCATTGGCGGGTGCCAAGATTGTGGGCTGCACTCACATCACTGCCCAGACTGCAGTAAGATTCCTCTGTGACATTGAGCTTCTACGCCCCCAAGCAAAGGCTGCAGTGTGATAGCGTCTCCTAATCAGGACAGAATTCTCCGTTTTAATCACAGTTGCTGCACCACTTATTTCCTACCGACTCTTGTATTGCCTGAGTCTTAAACGATTAAACTGATGAGGGGACTGTATTTACACGAGATCGGCTGTGCTTATCAGCCATTAACAGCCAGCTGATCCCACTAATTCAAGTAAAGAATCAAACAGACTTACACAACACAGAACTAGCTTATTGAGACCTTTTGTGTCACTGATTTCAGACTCTTATCCTGTTTGTGGATTTTCTTGTTGACCTCTTCCTTACCTGCATGTTCTCAGGTGCTGATTGAGACTCTGGTGGCTCTCGGCGCTCAGTGCCGATGGACTGCATGCAACATATACTCGACACAGAATGAAGTAGCTGCTGCCCTGTCAGAGATGGGTAAGCAGCAGGGATAGCAGAGCATTTCATTTTTTGATCACCACGAGTCGCTTTAATGCTGGTGATTAGCGACAGATGTTAATCGCCACCTGTCACCACTAATGTTTGTCATTATTTTACTTTTTATGATCCCAGCAGACCGTGTTTTTAATATAAGGTGTGTTTTATAAGCAGAGATTTGCTGCTCCATGTGAGTATCTTGTGTCTTTTAAAAACCAAGGTTACTGTTAAGAAATGTTAAATAAGCTCTTGAACATTCAGCCCTGCAGTGATAATGGGACCACGTACGTTTTTGTTTTTTTTTTCCATTTAGTAAAGCAGCAGCACCACAGAGCCCTTTATCTGTGGTTGCTATGTGATGGTCTAAGTATGTACTAAATTTCCACAGTCGACCTTTCATGATCTGGCAAGCCGAGCAATTCACAACTCAGTGGAGCTCGTGAATTTTTAGAGGCTTGAGTTGGTGTCTGCTGCTCAGTAATTTATCGCGGTGCATGCTGGGCTGTTTATTAAACTATAAGGCACTTATCTACTGTCGTCCTAGTAGTTTAGAGAGTGTTTACACAGTGGCATTATACAGACTCTAATGTAGTCTTTGCATTTTGTCTTCTAGCAGATGAAAGAGACTGTCTCATGCGGGTTGTTGATGTAAGATTCCTCAAGATATTGCCCATCTGTTGTGTTTCAGGTGTGGCTGTGTTTGCCTGGAAGGGGGAATCTGAGGATGACTTCTGGTGGTGTATTGACCGCTGTGTCAACACTGAGGGTTGGCAGCCGAACATGGTTTGTGGAAAACTTTTTATCTCCCTTAGCGCAGGGACACTTTCTAACCATAAGCTGAAATGTACACTGATCAGCCACAACATTAGAACCACCTGCCTCATATTGTCTCTGACCTGTCGAGGCCTGGACTTCACAAGAACCTCTGCAAGACGTTAGCAGCAGTCCTGTACGTTGTGATTGGACTTGTTTAACTTTAGCATGTTAGATGCTTAGTGCTCCTGGAGGCCAAGTCAACACCTTGAACTCTGGTCTCTGCGCTTTGAGTACCACTCAGTTAGAAAAGCGCTATGTAAGTGCAGACCATTTACCATTTACCTCTTTGTAATGCTCTTTAAAGCGTTCCTGAATAGTTTCTGTAGTGTGACAGGGCACGTCACTGAACGCTGTTACCATGACGGGGTGTACGTGGTCTGGAAAAACCTTTAGGTAGGTGGTACGTGTCAGAGTAGCATCCACATGCCGGGATTCAGGGTTTCTGAGGAGAGCATTGCTCATAGCATCACACTGCCTCCGCCGGCTTGCCTTCTTCCCACCGTGCATCCTGCTGCTTCTTCATGTAAATGATGCCCCCGGCTGTCCTCATGATATAACATGAAAAATGATTCATCAGACTGGGTCACCTTCTTCCATCACTCCATGGTCCAGTTCCAGCACTGACTGGTCTGCGCCTGTGCAGTGATGTGTTCTGACACCTTTCCATCATAGCATGCATTAAGGGGTTCAGTGAATTAAGCTCTTCTGCGGTAAGCGACGAATCGGGCCGGCTTCCCTGCACATCACTGAGCCTTGAGCGCCTGTGATGCTGTGGCTCCTTCACCAGTTCTTCTTCCTTGGACTGCTTTTGGTAGCTACCAAGCAGTGAACACCATACAAGACCTACCGTTTGGCAGGTACTCTTGTCATCACAGTTTGGTCCTTGTCAAAGTCACTCAGATCCTCATGTTTGCCCATTTGTTTCAGTGTCCAACCGTCAACTTCAAGAACTGACTGTTCACTCTGGACAGGTGCTGTTGTAACTGGATAATCAGCGTCATTCACTTTAACCTGTTAGTGGTTTTAATGTTGTGGCAGAGCAGTGTATGAATCAAATAGAGAAATGTTTGCTTCAGACAGCCATAAAATCACCAGAGGAGCAGCTGTTCTTTCATTAATAATAATATTTGTATTGGTATTTGTCTGACAATATATATATTTTTTTGTCCCTCTGAAAAGCAGTAGAGAAATGTCAGACTCATGCTCATAACGAAGCAACAAACTGTTTTCCTTTGTTCTGTCAGATCCTTGATGATGGAGGTGACTTGACACACTGGATGTACAAGAAATACCCCAATGTGTTCAAGAAGATCAGGGGCATTGTGGAGGAGAGCGTCACTGGGGTTCACAGGTAATTTACTGTCTCGTCGCTGTGCACTGCATTTAGATATTTAGTGATGCCTAAACTTTTTCCTGCCTTCTTCCTTCTAGGCTGTACCAGCTATCTAAAGCTGGGAAACTGTGTGTGCCAGCCATGAATGTCAATGACTCTGTGACTAAGCAGAAGTTTGACAACCTGTACTGCTGCAGAGAGTCAATCTTGGACGGGTGAGTAAGCTTTGGTTTAAGGTGCTCGATTGTTGGAAGGCTCGGCAGAAACACAGTCCAGCTCATTTCTAAACACGAGTACAGTTTGTTTATTGTACAGCTTTATAGTGACTAATAAGGTTTGGAAGAAATACGCCGTCCAGCGAAGGCCCGTTGCGTGTATCACGAAAGCAATCTGGTGTTTTAATCCTGTACGTTTACAAAAACTGGTGAATTTGTGAGAAACTAATGATGCCTGCCTACAACGTCCAGCTGGAACGTTGGCGCAGCTGTGAGCCTGGCTTCACTGTTCAAGGTCCTGGAGTTTTCCATGAGCTCAAAAAAGGCGGTAGCGCTCTTTCTGCTGGTGATAAATGAGAAAAGTTCATCAGCTTAAAGGTTGAGGCCACAGATTTCACACATCAGTTTACAGATCTTAGTGATGCATCAGTAAAACACCTTTTTGTGGTTCTGGAGGAAGTTGGGTAAAGTCTGGTTCTTTTCCTGATTTGATGTCGCTTGTATGTGGGTCTAAAGGGTACAAGTTAGAAAATATGGTGGTGTAGACGTACAAAGAAATGTGATAGACACTCATCTGAGCTGCATGCTGCTGACCCGACGCTTCATTATGAACACATCACACCCAAAACTGAATCTTTGGTGGTTGAACTGCATTGTGGGTACCGCTGTCTGGTTACATTTTGAAAAGGAAAGATGAGTGTGATTCATAGAAAAGAGACTTTTCATACTTTATTTCTGACTTGTTCCCGCTGATTGCATCGTAGAGAAACAATTGGTGAAGCGCTCTTTTAATTACGCCATTGCACAGATGATAAACAAGCTCAAGAGATCCTGCTGCCATCACAGAGCCAAACCAAAACCACAAAATACCACAAAATAGCTCGTTAGAGTTTTTAAAAACTCGTCTGCCATGCTCACTGCTACTTTTCTGGACTCTGAGTGAAACAGCCTGAGAACACAACTGTTAACTTTATTACCCTGCTGTTAATTATCGCCACGGCAGCGTATGAGTAGTTTTATTTATCAGCGTCTGCACATCTCTGTATGGGGTCAGTGCTTCCTATGCTGGTCACTCAGGATTTATTGCTGTACCTCCTGATTAATAATCAGCAAGCTCCACCGTAGCAGGTGTTCCATGATGAGGTCTGACACTGAAAGTCAGCATCACCCAACCTCTAGATGTATGCTGGAATGTTTAATGAAGCACGGTCTGCTCCGTAAAGAGCCAAACATTTTATTCCAGGCAGAAAACAGATCACTTGAAATGAATGGACATATAAGTAAACGTTTGGTACATACAGTGCTAAATCACATTATATCATTATAGTGAGGCCAGGTTTTTTGAATCTAAACCAGACTGGCAGTTTTGTCACTTTCACTAAACGTGCTAATTTTTGTTTCTCAAACCTCTCTAGCTTGAAGAGAACCACAGATGTCATGTTCGGAGGCAAACAGGTGGTCGTCTGTGGGTACGGTGAGGTGAGAGATGTCTTTTAATATTAGCATGCCGCGATAGTCTTCCTCATAGAGCTGTGAAAACCTTCATGATGAGACATTGCAACACGCACACGACACATGCCCTGAAGTCATAACGCCAATAGCTGTGATTGCATTTGACTGGACAACATTTGCAGGCCGTTGAATTTATTTGTCCGACTCCTGAGTCTAAATAAAGTTAAAGAATAGAATTTGCAAGACATGAATAACTGGAGTCTGGATGATGTTGTTTTATAATGTACTGACTATACTACAAGTGTTTCTACTTTGTGAAGGCGGGGTGCATGTTTGCTTGTCATATCGTCCATTGTTTTGTCCTTTTAGGTTGGAAAAGGTTGTTGCGCTGCTCTGAAAGCGTTGGGAGCCATTGTTTATGTTACGGAGATCGACCCCATCTGTGCCCTGCAGGCCTGGTGAGCAAAGCAAGAACTGGGATGATCACCACGCTGCATGTATTGACATTTATGAACAGTAACAGGTTTAACAGCGAAGCACAGCTGCTCCACAAAACTCTATTTTTGTTAACCACCCAGCAGACCCATTGTTTGAACTCAAGCCCACCGTACAAACACAACAGGAAGCCCTGCCCTTCAGCTGAATTGATTTGCTTATCAATAAATAATTGATAGCTTCCTGTTTGTCACTGGCCTTTCCAAAGCTGAAAGCTGAACCTCCTCCTTCTCTTGTGTGTAAACAGCATGGACGGATTCAGGGTGGTCAAGCTGAACGAGGTCATTCGCCAGGTTGATGTTATCATCACATGCACTGGTAACTCAACTTAAAGCCATGCTGGTGTTCTCATTGGATTTTTAACAGCTTTCAACCAGTTGTAGATGCCTTTAGGTGCATTAGTCCTGTGCTCTGTTTGTATATGATGAACACATCCAAACTGTGTGATTGTGTCTCTCTGTAGGAAACAAGAATGTGGTGACCAGGGACCAGCTGGACCGGATGAAAAACGGCTCTATTGTCTGTAACATGGGCCACTCCAACACCGAGATCGATGTGGTAAACTTAAAAGCTAAATGTGTCCTTCAGATATAATCTAAACATTTAAAGAGCCCATGCTATGCACTTCTACAGGTCTAAAGTTTGTTTTTTGGGGTCTATTAAAATATGTTCACATGCTATAATGTTCAAAAAACACTTGATTTTTCTCATACTGCAGCACCTCTTTCCACCCTGAGTTTGAAACGCACCATTTTAGCTCCTGTCTTCCCAAAACCCCCACTCTGCTCTGACTAGTCAGCTTACCTGATGAAAGCAAGGCTGGTCATGTACGATAACCCCAGATCTCTGAGTACAAGGTCCTGCCTCTATCAGAAGCAGTCCAGTGGGAAAATAATGTTTGTTTTTTTTTAAGCTTGTGCCAAACTTAAAGCTGGGCAGGCATTATGCAAATGTGTTACATGGTGATGTAATAAATAACAGATGAGAAGCCTGGTCTTCAAACGATTCGTTCCAGGCAACAATGTTTTCTGCGGTAGAGAAGGATTCCTTTTTACGTGGACTTTGCAGACCTTTTATAGAAGAAGTTGTGTCATAATGTGGGCTCTTTAAGATGTCCTAATCTCATTTTAAATAGCTCCTAAAGATTGTTCACAATAGATGCTAGCTGACTGACGTGACTCGTCCCTTTAGGCCAGTCTGCGGACCCCTGAGCTCACCTGGGAGAGAGTTCGCTCTCAGGTGGATCATGTCATCTGGCCAGACGGCAAGAGAGTGATCCTTCTGGCTGAGGTGAATGCCTGCATCCGTTTGCCTTGCACTCACATGCAATAAATACAGATGATGCAGTTTGATCGTTAGCCTCCTTATTCATCAACAGTGTTCAGCCTTAATTGTGTTAAACACATTTATATGAGCTTACTGTACTTTCTTGTGATTTTAAGGAGCTTAAATACAAAAACAACAAATAATGCACTAAAACATGATGGATAATATTTATTATTTGAGTCAAATAGTAGATTTTACTTCTTAAAACCCTATTAACAAATGAATGAGATTATGTTTTTTACACTATTACTGACTATTTATGGCTTGTCAAGAACCTAATCATGATTTCTTCTTAAAGCCTATGTTGCTGATAACCTGTTGATTTCCTCCACAGGGACGTCTCCTGAACCTCAGCTGCTCCACCGTCCCTACTTTTGTCCTGTCCATCACAGCCACCACTCAGGTAACATTATTTATATAATCCATCACATAAATGTAGTTTTTATTTATTATATGCTCACAGCGGCTTAAACCGCATCGTAGTTATCATGCAGATAGCAGAGCGTAGTGAAGGATCCCCTGCATGCTTTTGCAATCTCTCTAATTAGTTGGCCATCGTGACAGATAAGCTCCTGATTTGGCCTGGAAACGTCTCTGTGTAGAGATACATGCTGCTTCTGTTCACAGATGTGCGCTCCGATTATTGCTCCGTAATCGGAGGTTTATAGTTTCGTTTATTGCTCTTAAATGTATTATGTGCCGCTGCGTTTCCATTTGCAGCAGTGTTATTAATGTGTGTTTGTCTTCAGGCCCTGGCTCTGATAGAGCTGTACAACGCTCCAGAGGGACGTTACAAGCAGGACGTTTACTTGCTTCCCAAAAAAATGGGTGAGAATATAAACACTGAACCACCGCCTGCAGCATTTACACATTCAAAGCTTATAAGCAACATTACTCAGGGTTGGGCTGTGGGACTGGTGTGCATGAATTCGTTTGTTCCTTGTAAGTTTTGAGATGACAAGTTTAAGACAGAGGTGAGGTGGAAATTGGAATAATTCCTCTCTGAACTTGATGCTGTGACTGGTGATCGAACTGATTTAACACGTTGGGACATTTCAGTGCAGTTCCACCCAGCAGACAGAAGATTTCCTGCGTCTAGTGCTCTGCATGTGTTTGCATCTCTTTCTGACTCAACCACATCTCTGTGTTTCAGATGAATATGTTGCTAGTCTGCATCTGGCCACTTTTGATGCCCACCTGACAGAGCTTTCTGATGAGCAGGCAAAGTACCTGGGTCTGAATAAGAACGGCCCTTTTAAACCCAACTACTACAGGTACAGCTCTACACAGTTAGATTAAATATATATATATTTATAATAGTATGAAACCGAGGCGTGTGTTTGATTAAACATTTTTAAAAATATATTTAATGTTAAAAATGTGGGCCAAGCAAAATGTCTGTGTCAAATAAGAATGCACATTTAAATCTGATCATTACTACATAACCAAATCAATTTCACACAGACAAAAAGAACTAAATCCTTACCAAACATGTGAGTATTTTGTAGTTGATAAACAGATTAGAGTAGGCTGTTCACAAACTCCATAGAAGTATAACTAAAAAAAAAAAAAACTTGTGTTACTGTTTGACTTTTCTCAGCTTGATCTGTTTTTTTTTTTTCTTATTCACAGGTATTAATCTGCAAAGCACCTCAGACCACCTGTATGTGAGCAGTTCCTGATATTAAATGTCCTCCAGGCAAAAGACAGATTTATGTATATTGTATTTTATACTCTTCACAGGATGCACAGCTTATATTTAGATGTATTTTAGTGGCCACGGCAGGTTTCGCTTTACTTGCTGCTTCCTACAGGTGATGCACACGATGGCACTCAGCTGGCTTTAAGAAGTTCGTGTAACTACAGCACTCAGCTGTCTCCTAAGATTTTTATTGCATGTGTGTCTTCTGTACCTGCTGGTTCCTTTCTGATAGCCATTTACAAATAGATCAATATATCGTGCCAAAATAACTGTGAGAGGGGAGGGGAGGGTTTTTCTGAAATGTTAGTGGTTGATTGTGAAAGGATTTAAACCTACATTAAGCGCTATTTTTTTTGTATAAACACTGTATTAAATTCCTCCATGTAATGCAAAATGATCATGTGAACGGCCAAACTCACAAAACTCCACAACTCATTGAGCTTTTTAGACGCTTACGAGCATAAATTGTCTCCTTTAATGGGCAGCTGGTTGTTTACAGATGAGCCATAACAACTCGATAAGCTGACTGTAACTCAAAGCTTTGTCCTTGTAAGAGTTTATTTTGGAGTATTTCTACCGTCCAGTCTTCAAAAATCGCTCAATGATCCTTATTTTTTCTGCTTTGATATTGAAGCACTTGTTCACTTAATACATTCCATCCACGAGCTACAGAGGAAATGTCCAGACCTCGTTAGTATCATCACTTTTATTGCTAACCTTCAGCAGATCTGGGTAAAAAACAAAAAAAGGAACTTCAGTACTTGCTGATCATAGCAAACCTAAGAAGTGACATTTATTTTCTTGGAACCAACGTGTCCGTTTATGAGGTTTTGGGGGCTGGTAGGAATCACATCTGCACCTCAGGGCATTCAAATTTCTCAAACTATTTGTAAATGTATTTTTTTACCAGATCTGCACTGTTTGATTATCCATGTCTAATCTCACCGTCACTCTTATGAAATGACTATTTACAGTAGAGCTGTAAATACTTTAGAGGTTTTGATACTGTGTGTGATCTGTGTCACCTGCTAGCTTTAGCTGTCAGGAGTGAATGGACATGTGCAGTCGTGTATATTTTGTGTAAAGCTGAGCGTTGCTGCAGACGGTGTGTTTCCACTGGACAGCAGCCTCCGATGAGCCTCTCTCAGAATGTGATTTCTTGTTTAGATTTGTCACAGGGCTCCGATCTTGTGCTAACTAGATGATGTCTGTTTTTTAATTAAAGAATTTTAACAACAGAAAGTCAACTCCTTAAATACTCTGGGACTAGACATGGATAAGCTTTGTTTTCAGCACATGTGACTAAGCAGCTGTTAGCGTTACCTTCTAAGTTATCTTGTGATATTATAGCTATATTAACAACACAATGTTTTTTTGTTTCTTAAAGACTTTCGTTGTTCAAAAGGCTTCAGCACTGTTTTGTGAGCCTTGTGAAATGCACACTTACTTCTCTATATTCACGTCATATTTTTTAACAGACAGCAGGCATATTGGATGATGTAGTGAGTGATTCATTTTTTTAAAATTCAAACTACACAGTGTACAGTGTCTTGCTGAATTTAAAGCTCTTCAACACATTTCATCGTGCTGTATTCGATGCTGGTGGTCAGACGGCTGACAGTGTTGCCATCTCTACCGATCACCTGTTTAAGGTGTATCCACCAAGTATCCCGTTGCTTTCAAAAAAACATCATTTGCATTCACCAGTAATTTCTGTTCCACATTTGTGCAGTGATTTTGAATGAGCAAGTGTTTGTTGAATAGTAGCCCACAGTGTGCTACTGTGAAGTGCTTTCATCTTTGCACTAACAGCTCTAAGGGCATTAGAACCAGGGACGTTCAGTGAGGATATCATTGTCAGCGAGATGAGCGCTGTAGCCATGGTTACTGGTCAGTTGACAGTGCCTTGAAACTCACTTAGTAATTTATATTCACATGTACAACTGTGTTTCTCTCCAAGTATGTTAATGCCCAACGCGGCTGTTATTCTGCAATATCCAGCGATAGCTATGCAGCACTTCATCTGCATCCTTTCAAAAGTGTTTTAATTCTGCAGGCGACGGAGGGTTGATAAATCAGTGTTTCACATTACTCCTGTAGTATGCTATTAATTACTGTGAACTGTTCTAGACATTAGTAAGCAACACTTTAGATTCTATTATGTACTTTTTTTACATTGATTTTAATAAACACTTGTCATCACAGTTTTAGTTCTTGTAACAACCACACACTTCAATATCTTAATAGCACTTGAAAACTGCTCTCTGTAGTGAATTCCTTTGCTTTAGCTGATAGTAATGGTCATTTTAACCTAGTTTTATCTCTAGTATAGAGACAAATGAATGTGTTATTACTGGAGCAAACGGCTTAACTCTTATCAAACTGACGTAAACAAGCGAACCACTGTGATTTGACAACTGTATATTGTTGCATTTGGATACAAGGCTCTGTAAATGATGTATCGGCTGTAACGTAGACCTATATTTTCACCACTATAGCTGTAGTTTAGTTTGAAGAACATGATTTCAGCAGAATACACACTGTTAAACTTACGTGCACTGTTTCCTTTAATAAACCGCTGTTCAAATTTGAAAATGGCTCAGATGCATCATTTCACACAAACAATTAGTATGTCTAAATGTATTGCTTTTATGGGCAATTACGCCGCAGCCTCAGACCCCTAAGGAGCCTCCAGAACTCTCTGTGGTCTGTGGTTATATGATCCAAGTGTAATCTTGTTTGGAAATATGCATATTGATGATAAATGGGTTTAGACACGGCAGTGTCAGCGATAAGATGTAGATATTTTTTAGTAGCTTTATTGTCATGTTGGAGTCAGAAAACAATATAAGAATATTTGGATAGTGTTCCTGAGGCATAAGGAGACAATTAGACAATTAAAAAAAAAAAAAAAAAACAAATGCCACAAACCATGAGGGAGACGCAATGAAAAACAACATACTGTGTAAGAAGCGGGACATAGGGCTTAGCTGCATAATATGACTGTATGTCACAAGCTGAGGGATGCATAAAGAAAACATCACTGTGTCTATGGCACACACACACACACACTCAATAAATATTTGCTGCTTTTTTTCATTTCTTTATTGTCAGTGTCTTGACCTTTTCATCATCCTATTCATTTTTTAATTACACGTTTTTTTGTTTTTTTAAATTACGCCATTCTTGATGCTTTTGCAGTGTTGTTTATATGATATTGAAAAAAACAAAGCACAAACAAATCCCAGTTGCTCAACTTTCACGCCGAACGTGGCAAAGTAATCCCGCTGACGTCATAGCGGCAGAACCTCGCGGATCAATTCCCGTCTCGCGAGAGTACATGCGCCCAAAAAATTATGGACGTCGGTGGGAACGGTGGTGGGCTACCTGTAAACAATAAACAGAGAGCTATGCTACCTAACAAGAGCAGGGGCGAATTCACCCGCAACCCAAGGAAAGACTCAGAGGTAGGTACACTGGAGTCTGTGATTTGTTTTCCCGACGAGTTTTCGGCTAACCGTAAACACAGAAGGCCTTTCCGGCTGCTGTAACGTTAGCTAGCTCTGTCACTCCAGCTTAACTAGTATTACTAACACTAACCGCGGTTAGTTGAAGTTAGTTGCCGCGGCAACTAACTTCAACAAACGCGTTTTTGTGAATAGTTTCTAATCGTACCTAACTGTACAGTGTTTTATTTGTGGTCCGCTGTTAACGCACATAATGTTGACCAGCAGTGTAGCTTAGCAGGGGGTAGCTAGCTGTTGTTAGCCGGTAACAGGCCAGACTGGGCTGTCTGTCAGGAACCGGGGACCTGTTGAAAACTGAATCTTCCAGGTCCCGTAAATCACGCTTCTTCTTTCTGACTTATTAACCTGCTATGACAGTGTAATGTCACTACATGTGTGAAAAAATAGGTCTGTGTTATCAACACAGAAAGAAAAGTCAGTAACTGTTGGATTCTTGTGCAAGAAAATTACTTCAGCGTCTGTTGGTTTGAATATTCATGTCATAAAAATGAGTCATAGAAATAATCACAGAAAACATACAGATGGTGTAAGAATGCCAACTAAAGTCTGTCCACTATGACTGTAAACTGAATATCTTTGGCTTGTGAACACAACAAGATATTTCTTATCTTACGCTTTGAGAAACATTGATTTAGTTTGTTTTTTTCCGACAGAATATACAGAAATATATTTTAAGACATCCGACAGATGAAACAACTGATCAGTTAATCAAGACATTAATTGAGAGACTGATTAACAAATGAAAATAGTTGTTAGTTTCAGCCCTACTGTAAAAATGCATTTCGTAGAATCATAAGTACAGTAAAGTAAATGCACTGAAGGTGAAGTATAATGTTTTCAACAATGGATCTACTCAGGTAAAATAGAAATACCTCAAAACTATACTGAAGCACTACTACAGATCTTAATGAGCTCTTCTTAGTTACTTTGCCCTCCTGAAGTAGTTCAGATTATAAAGGCTATCATAACTTTGACCTACTTGTCCTATTCTACACAAACAGGGTTTTTTTTAAAATATCATATTTATTTATGTATAAAGCTGATTATATGCAAAAAATTCTGAACCAATGAAGCAGATAATCTCTGCGCCTCCACAAATGCCTTCCAGTCCCATTCAGCTCACTGAAAGAATATCAGCTGTCATAGGGACAATTTCTTAGATAGTAACAATAAAACTTGTAATACAAAGATCAGTTGGATTTAGTAGCCATGTAGCACCAGATATTAAAAATGCTTTTGTGTGTATGTGTAGGACTTGATAAATTGTCTAATTGATGCATTGTGTCATGTGTTGTGCACAGGGGCTGTCTGAGTCTCCAGATCTGGAGTTTGAATATTCCGATACAGACAAGTGGGCTGCAGAGCTGTCAGGTGTGTGTTCTCATCATAAGGACGCCGTTCTTTAAGAACCTGTAATCTAGCTACAGGTGTAATTGTGTTCAGATTAATAAAGCGTGTGTTTATGTCTGTTGCAGAGCTTTACAGTTATACTGAAGGACCAGAGTTTGCTCTGAATAGGAAGTGCTTTGAGGAAGAATTCAGACCTCATGGTAAGTAACTTAACATACACGACAGTCAAATTAACAACATAATTATGAATATACATAAATGTATATTAGAGTTTATTAACCATGCGTGTACTGTGCCTTAGTGTCTGATAAGAAGTGGACCGAGCTCGATGCAGCGCAGCACAGAGCTCACGCCATGCGGCTGCTGGACAGTCTGGAAGTCATCGCCCGGGAGAAAAGGCTGAAGGTTGCTAGAGCCATTCTCTACATGGCTCAGGGTCAGTGAATGTCACCGTTCCATGATTTTAAATAGAATAAAATCTTGCTAAAAGTAGTGATGATTATTTTGCTTATCAATGTACTTCACTGTGGTGCTGCTGTTTTCTCTGTAGGGACCTTCGCAGAGTGCAGCTCAGAGGCTGAGGTGCAGCACTGGATGAGATACAACATATTTCTGCTGCTTGATGTGGGGACCTTCTCTGCTCTGGTGGAACTGCTCAACATGGAAATTGAGTATGTTTTCCATCGGTTTTGTAGCCGTGCATGCGTAAGCCTGAGTTTAAACAGCCAAGTTTACAAAGTACGATTCTGGAGAGCATTCATTAACATTCACAAGTGCTGCAGAGGAAGCAGTCAGCACTGAATGTGAATATAAATTTGGATCAGGTAAAAAAAAAAATTCTTTTTACTGGTGAAGGTCATCACCAAAGAAGTGCTTTAGTGTTTTCTTCTTCTTCTTTTTTTAATTTTAAAAGCTTTGTCAGATTTGCAGTAAGCTAAAGAAGACATTGTCGGTTGGCTGTGCAAGGCTTCAAGTTAATACATTTTATGATATTAATTTTTTTGTGCAGAGAATCTGACATTATGCGGTCCACTGTTTGTTTTTCAGTAACAGTGCCGCCTGTAGCAGTGCTGTCAGAAAACCGGCCATCTCCCTTGCCGATAGCACAGATCTCAGGGTGCTACTTAATATAATGTACCTGATGGTGGAAACGATCCACCAGGACGACCCGGCTGACAAGCCCGAGTGGAAAATCATCAGGGAAACCTTCAGAGCAGAACTGGGTACATTTCATCCCAATAGCTGCAGTCACATCAAGGATATGTACAAAAGTGAATACATAAACTAATTTTACACGCTTCACTATTTCAGGATCGCCTCTTTTCAACAACGAGCCCATTTCCGTCATGCTCTTCGGTATGGTTACCAAGTTCTGCAGCGGCCATGCTCCCCACTTTCCAATGAAGAAGGTGTTGCTGCTGCTGTGGAAGAGCATTCTGGTGAGAGATGAAATGATCTGTACATTGTCCATTGGTTACAAGAAAGCACTGTGTTTTAACATCCTCCCTTGTTTTCTGCTTCAGTTCACGCTCGGAGGGTTTGAGCAGCTGCAAAGTATAAAGGTCCGTAAACGTGACGAACTGGGTCTTCCTCCTCTCCCGGAGGACAGCATCCGAGTCATTCGCAGCATGAGGGCGGCTTCTCCTCCTGCGTCTGCTTCCGACCTCATCGAGCAGCAACAAAAACGGGCCCGTCGTGAACACAAGGTACCTTTAACTTTTACTTTTAAAATGTGTTTTCTTTCCCCGAGTGTGGAACAAACCTTGTCAGCAGGTGACTGTGAATAATCAGATATATTGAGTGTAATATATTATTATTAACTTGGATATGATGAAGCCTGACCGATGTGTTATCAGCCGATATTGTTTACTGTACACGTAGCAGAGTGTGTATGATAGCTGAGGAGATGGTTGTTGGTTGGAGTTAAGCAGGGTCTTTGTGGGAGTTTTCTATCCAGTTTGTAAAAAACAGTAGAATTTTTTGCAGTAAAGGTCCCAAAATCTAAGTCAGGCTCAAGGTACAAAGATAAAGAGTGAATTGAAATGTAAAGATGAGACATTATAATAGTTTCAATCCATTACAGGAGAGATGTGCATCATATATTGTCTTATATACAAAAATACAATATCGTGCATCCCCACTACATCTGCATGAAGTTGTACAAAAATCAAATCAAATCAGGTTTATTGTCATGTTGCTGTACATACAACAGGAGTACAAACAAAACGAGCGAGTGTTTCTTCAGGATCCAAAAACTAAAAGCAATTAAATAAACAAGTGTTTGCACATCTGGATCAGCAGTTCATCATTCTGACAGCTGGTGGAATGAAGCTGTTGATCAGTCTGGAGGTTGTTCCTTTAACGCTCCGGAAACGTTTGCCTGATGGCAGCAGTTCAAACAGTTTATGGAGAGGGTGTGAGGAGTCCCTGACGATGTTCAGAGGCTCTGGGAAAGTTCAGAGCTAGCTGTCTGTCTGTCTGCATCCCCTCCAGCTGTCTGTCCGTCAGGGATGCTGTCATGGAGCCATGTTTCTGTTAAAGCAGACACACAGCAGTCCCTCCACTCTCTGAGGGTTTCTCTCAACAAACGTCCAGCTTGTTGTGGAGGGAGCGGACATTGGAGAGCAGGAGGACGGTCCTGCTGGTCTGGAGGGGTTAGCCTTTAGCCTAGCATGGATCCCAGCTCTCTTCCTCCTCCTTTGTTTACGTTCGTATCGCTTCCTTCTCTCTCGGGTAACTGCCGGCGTCGTCTCCAATCGGACTCCGTGTTAGCGTAGTATGTCTAAATCACAACCGAGCGCCGCACTTTTACCGACGTTCATTGCCCTGATGTTTAGTAAAGTCTCTCGGCTGTAAGTTTTAGCCAAGACACCCAAAACTTCACTCTCGCTGTCTCCTGAAGGGGCCGCTGCGATCATGCGTGCCGCTATCTCTAAAAAGACACAGCATTGAAGCAAAATGACAAAAATACAGCGTCTTCAGTCAGTATTTCTCTCTGTATGGACACAGCAAAATGAACTGAATAGTGTTTTAAGCCTTTTCTAGCGATTAAAACCAACTTTTAAAAAGTGCACATCTTCCTGAATGTTATGGGGTTGCTTCATTCTGGCACGAAGCCTTCATGCTTTGTGTTGCTCCGTTCACCGTTCAATGATGTCTTTTCCTGTATCTCACACAGGCGCTGATCAAACAGGACAACCTGGACGCTTTCAACGAGAAGGATCCTTACAAGGCCGATGACTCTCGCGAAGATGAGGACGACAACGATGACAACGACAACTCCATAGAGGCGGAGACGTTCCCTCTGGAGAGGGACGAAGTGATGCCTCCGCCTATTCCCCACCCTCCATCAGAGCGGGTCTCCTTCCCCAAGGGGCTGCCGTGGGCCCCTAAAGTCAGGTACTGATCAGTGTCCCGTGAAGGAAACAAATGCTTAAATCTAGAAAATCTAAATGGAGATTTTAAGATGTAGACGTGTTTTGTCTGATGTTCTTGTCTTTGCTCCAACAGGGAAAAAGATATTGAAAATTTTCTCGAATCCAGTAGAAGTAAATTCATTGGTTACACGCTTGGAAGGTGAGTTTGTTTTCCTTGTCGGTAGCCTAATATCAGCTACCTCTCATTGTTGTATGTGTGTGTGCTGAAATAATGCATTAAAACGTGTTTATTTTTTTGCAGTGACACAGACACGGTGGTTGGATTACCCAGGCCGATTCACGAGAGCATCAAGACGTTAAAGCAGGTAGCGTGACATTTTTTTGCTCAGTACTTCTTTAGTCATGTCAGAGTAGGTCCAGAGCTCGAGCACTGCTGGGTGTTCATTTATTACTGTTCATCCTATTTTTCAGCACAAGTACGTCTCGATAGCGGAGATACAGGTTGCAAAGGAGGAGGAATTTCAGAAAACCCCTCTGTCCGGTGTAAGTCCAAACAAACATTCACTTTCATAATTCAAGTCAGTAAGTTGTTGTAAATAAGATAAAATACTGTCTTCTGTTTATGGACATCAGGCCTTGAAGGCTCCTTGTTCCAGGCCAATTATTTTGTTGTACTCGATGTCCCTTGTTTTCTGTCCTTGGCATCAGGGAGAAGAGGAAGTGGAGATGTGCGCCACGGAGCTGCTCTATCAGGGAATTCTGCCCAGTTTGCCACAATACATGGTGAGTGCTGTTTATAGAATGGGACAGCTCATACCAACGTATCATTCTGTTTGATGCTTCATTAATTCTTTCACACAAGTTCAGCAATGCAATGTGATATTTACACAGTTATCCATCACTGAAGGTTCAGGCTAGCAGCAGACTTCAGTTTTTTTTTTTGGCTCGTGTAATTTGGTAAATTAAAAAAGGGGAAAGTTGGCAGAATATAACGACTGCTGTTGGCTGTTGTAGGAAGACTGGCCTCAGTTTATAAAGGTAGCGCTGGCTCTGGACATCAAAGAAAACACAAAACAACCACAGTGTTTCTGGGTCACTTCTACTCACTGCTTCACTTCAAAATTAAATCAAAAGAAAGAAACACTTGTTTGGCACAAAGAGAAACTTAAACTGGAGGGAAAAAACAAACAAAACAATGAGCAGTTGTGGAAAAGTTTTATAAGATAATAACAAAAAACAAACAGAAGAAAAGTCACTGGGTCCAGATTCAAATAACCTGGCTCGTGGGTTATAAAAAATATGGCAAGGAACAGGGATTTAACTCAAAATAAGGATATTTGTTATAGCTAAAAGCAACCATTTAACAAATAATCATAAGTATGGCGTGTGACTGTCAGTAGTATCAGGAGTGTAGGTGTGAAGGAGTGAACATGATGGGATGCAAAAAGTTCACAGAAGGACGTGTCACCATTAGGGCTGGACCCGAATTGCCGACTGTTCGTTCGCTGTGCTCGACCCGAGATGTCAATTTTGATCTCCGAATATCTCCCCCTATTCGGGATATTCATCATTAACTGGGGCCGGATATCCGGAGAACAGGAGTTGCTATTCGGACCCGCCTTAGTCACCACCAACGAAGCCGGATCAGAATGTATGAGATTTATGGGCTGTCCTGATGCCTTCAGGGACCCACAGGTAAACAGAATGCTAGGCCGTCACAAGATGGAGATGTAAAAAGCAGATGAGGACGTGGACAAAAGACGGACAAGAAGCTGAGTGAAGTGACCAGAAGTTAAAAGCTGCTCGCGTCTCTTTTGTGGTCTTGACTCGTTGAGAGCTCCACACTCCCGTCTTGGTGGTTCCACTGGGAGAGAAAAGATTATAAACAGACAAAGTTCTGATGGTTGGACATTCATGCACTGTAATCCATTTGGAAGTTTTGCTTTGTCTTTAGTTTGCTTTGTTCACGTTCAGCCTTTTCTGGCTCAACTAAAAACTGTAAGAAATGCATCAGAGGAAGGAGACATTACATTTATAGTCTTAGCAGTTCACTTGGGTGTCGTTGCTTTATGTGTGTGTGTGTGTAGTAACAGATAATTACAGTGTGAGTATCAGCCACCACTTTGCTCCTCACACTGACATTATGCCGTGTTTCTCCTAATGTCAGATTGCGCTGCTGAAGATCCTGCTCGCTGCAGCTCCGACATCCAAAGCCAAAACGGACTCCATTAACATCCTGGCAGACGTGCTGCCCGAAGAAATGCCGTAAGTGGATTTAACAGCCCGCCAGCTCCTCGTCCAGTGCAGCGTTATGTGCTGAGCAAGGATCCTAAGCTTAGCAACAATACGAGAATTGCATTAATGACCAAAGTGGTGAAGTTTTACTGGTGTCCACTCCCAGAGTGAGAGCAGACATCGTGTCACTGTAGTTTGTTTCAGACATGATTGTAAGTTGTGTGGCTCTCGTGTGATTTGTGTGATTTATTTTTACCTGCTTTGTCGAAACAGCAGCAGAACGCCGTGTAGCTCCAGCAGCACATGTGTAGGCATGTAAGATAATGAGAGTCCAAGCCAAGGTTCTGGTTTACAGGCTTCAAAGGTTTTTTTAATTAAACGTGAACAGTCCAGATAGTCTGACCTGACCTGAGTTGTGCTGCGAGGCTCTTTTAGAAGTACTGATCTCTTCTCTGCAGGACCACGGTGTTGCAGAGCATGAAACTCGGTGTTGATGTCAATCGCCACAAAGAAATCATTGTGAAAGCCATTTCCGCCATCCTGCTGCTGCTCCTGAAGCACTTCAAGCTTAACCACATCTACCAGGTGTGTACCGAACTTGTATTTAGGCACAATCTATTGTTCATCTCATGCTCGTTAACGGTTTTGATTTTGAGAAATGCTCCTCTGTACCTGGTTTGTGTCTGTGCTCTGATTGTAGTTTGAGTACATGGCTCAGCACCTGGTGTTTGCCAACTGCATCCCCCTCATTCTGAAGTTCTTCAACCAGAACATCATGTCTTACATCACAGCTAAGAACAGGTACTCTCAGGGCCTCTTTAAATAGCAGAAGTCGTGATTCATATTTACAATCAACATCTGTGAACTGCTGCTCTTATTTCACTGCTTTCAATTTTCTCTCCCCAAAAGCATTTCAGTTCTTGATTTTCCATATTGTGTGGTACATGAGCTGCCGGAGTTAACCGCAGAGAGTTTGGTAAGTTGTTGGATTTTTGTCGTTTTGCTTTTGCTGCCGTCTGATTTCTCCGACGCTGCAGCTTGACGTTTCTCTGTGGACGATGTCTGTGTCACAGGAAGCAGGAGACAACAATCAGTTTTGCTGGAGAAATCTGTTTTCGTGTATTAACCTGCTGAGGATCCTCAACAAACTGACCAAGTGGAAGCACTCCAGAACGATGGTGAGAGCGCTTCACATCGACACGGTGTTTTAATATAAAAGGGTGTCGCTCACTGCTGTGATCTGTTCCCCACCAGATGCTGGTTGTGTTTAAGTCAGCTCCCATCCTCAAGAGGGCGCTGAAGGTCAAGCAGGCCATGATGCAGCTCTACGTCCTCAAACTGCTCAAAGTGCAGACCAAGTACCTGGGACGCCAGTGGAGGAAGAGCAACATGAAGACCATGTCCGCCATCTACCAGAAAGTCCGACATCGCCTCAACGACGACTGGGCTTATGGGAACGGTGAGTGGAACCAAGAGCAGCGGTCATACCTTGAAATCATGTTGAAAAAAGAGTAAGGCATTTGATATCTGGTGATGACAGAATTCCCTTTTTTTTAACATTTATACAAGGCTGTCTTATTTTAAAGGCACCTTTATAAACAGCCTTCGTTTCTCAGGCCACAAAAGATTGACCGTTTGAATCCTTTGCAGCTCAACCTTTTCCAAAATGACCTGCTCTGGGTGACAGTTGGGTGTTTTTCTATCATATGACCCCCGGCACTGGGTTCCAACTCAGTCGAATAGTTAATAATACAAATGCTAAAAATGTGCCCATGCCACGATCAAGGTTACTGGAGGTCAGGAACAGCGCTTTGTACAAAAGGATAAAGGTGGGAACAGCGAGTGACACCAATCATAAGACCTCCGTAGACCAGATCCTGTGAGTCACGTTGAAGTTTGTAAAAAAAAAAAAAAAGAGGCAACTTCTGCTGCATAAGCAGGAGAATAAATTACTGACAAGTGAAAATGAGTTGAAAGCATTTGTCAAAGATCTGCGGTGCAGCCAACGATTCCTGTCAAACATATTGAATCATAAAACGCTGAGCGTCTTAAAAATGCAAAAAGTAAATTATAAGGATGGTTCCAGAAGGAGAGACTTAAAGTATACGAGTGAAAGACCAGCTACACAAACATCAGATTTATGGTCTGTCGTAATAAAGTGCTTCACGTTCTTTGGGTCAGCTGTCCTCCTTCAACAGGACGTGTCTGAAGGGTTTCGTGTCCTCAACAAGTGTTCTTGATTTGCACGACGTTTACAGTGGTCTTATAGTAAAAGCTTAAAAAGTCCTTATTTGTCTTTGTGTCTTAATCAAGCTCCCACTTAGTCCCTAAATCTTCTTCTCTGTTTGTTTTCTGGGAACAGATCTGGACGCTCGTCCGTGGGACTTCCAGGCCGAGGAGTGCGCTCTGCGGGCCAACATCGAGCGCTTCAACAGTCGCCGCTACGACAAGACCCACAGCAATCCAGACTTCCTGCCCGTGGACAACTGCCTGCAAAGTGTTCTGGGGCAGCGAGTGGACCTGCCCGAGGACTTTCAAATGAACTACGACCTGTGGCTGGAGCGAGAGGTCTTCTCCAAACCTATTTCCTGGGAAGAACTGCTGCAGTGAGAATCAACCTGTCGGCGTCCTTGATGTGTTTTTTTTAAAGAATTAAACTGTTTCAATCAGGAGTTCAGACAAACCGCCACCAGTGCTCTCACTGATCCAACTCTGAGCGAAGCATCGCGTTACGTGTTCTGTGTGGATGGACGTCACCATCAGAAGTCACCGAGATGCTGCTTGTGAACCATCAGCGGGGATCAGTGTGGTTTTACAGTTTGATTGGAGCTCCAACCAAATGCTTTATGTGATGAACGTTTGCCTTTAAGAAACTTAGCATTACTGTCATTTGAATCCACTTGTTACACAGAAAAAAAAAAAGAGATAATCGTTTTGTATTTAGGTTCCCCGACACTTTTCCCGCCACCCACAGTTTTTACATGAAATTGATGACAATGAATTCAGCGATGAACTGCATCCATGGACTTAAACCCAACTCCTTCCCGACATAACAGGTCTCTGCTCTGTGTGCCTCGTGCCTGCTGCAGTGGGTCACTAACCGACCTGGAAAGCACTACATGACCTCTTTCATTTTATTTGGAATACATTTTACGTGTTAAGTGTTAAGACAAAGCCGGGCTCAGCGCATTTAAGTTAAAAATACAACATTCCTTGCTCTCATCTCATCAGTTTTTCTTTTCCAGGGAGATGTGAGGAACGGACGGAGACTTTTTCTGTTGTTTGTACAAGTGAAGACATGTTAGTTTTTGATAGTTATTCTCTGAAGGGGATGAGCTCCTGTTTACCAGATTGACCTTATGACTGCGTCCTGGGACCATCGCGGCCGTCGCTCAGACCACCAGGCCGAACAGACGCAAAGCGACGGCCGTGAATTTTTACCGACTCGACATCATCTTAGTTCAGTTTGCCGTTTGGTCACTGATGTGCACATGATTTGTGTGAAAGAAAACATTTCTGGTTTGTTTGTTAGTTTTGAACTGAAGGTTAGAACTCATTTTATTTTTCCAGTAACAGAATCATTTTCCTTTTTTTTTTTTTTCTACATCATTTTGTTTTTGTTTGTTTTATGAAAAAGGTTTAGGAAATGAAAATACATGTAAATTGTGAAACCTATTTATCATGGCTTTTGTCTTTGTTTTACATTGACTTAAATACTGTAATAAAATTATACTGTCAGACGTTTTGGATTGATTTGTTTTTGTTAAAGGTTATTCTTTTGGCTTTTTAAAATAGAGATATTGATCATAATGTAGGGACAAAGAGGAGCATCAAATACAATAAAGATGCAGTTAAATTGTTAATTTGTATTGTTGGTATCTGAATCGTTCTTTAACTTGCAGAAATCAACAGTTATTTATTACCGAGCTTTGGGAAAATAGGCTCCAAAGTCAACATGAATGCAGCAGGAATTCTCATCGTACACACATGAGCAGAGATTATATACACATGAAACCAGAAGTTTACGTACTCTGTAGAAAAAGACACATAAACCTTTTTCTTCTTTCGCTGTCTGACATTAAATCA